AAGAAAGAAAGAAAGAAAGAAAGAAAGAAAGAAAGAAAGAAAGAAAGAAAGAAAGAAAGAAAGAAAGAAAGAAAGAAATTAAGAGCCAGCCCAGGCCTGGCATTTGTGTAGGAGCTTCGGCCTTGCTCTCTGGACCCCTCCAGACCCAGCCCAGGCCCAACATACAGGCCTAGTGTAAAACTCTGCAGCTGAAGTCTTGCACAGAGGCTAGGGGGCCAGAACCACGCAACTAATCCAGAAGCAGAACATCTTGCCAAGAGGGGCTCAGAAGGTTTACTTCCACAGGCTGCAGCAGGCAGAAGCTGAGCACAGCAGGCAGACCCAAGCCAGGCACATCCAGACAAGTTCAAACTTTGTAGATCCTGACCTGGTAATCTGAGACTCTTTGCTAGACCCAGATCTGTGAAAGCATCCTCCCTCTTTTTCTGATGACCAAGAGAGGGGGCAAAAGGTAACTGGGGTGAAATAGTCTGCCTGGAAGACATCAGATACATCAAGGAGAGGTGATCAGACAGAATTTAGAACAAACTTAAATACAAATTCCCTATTTAATATCTGCTTAGCTACACATACAATGCTTGCACTGTCTAAATATGAGCCCATTAGATACAAAAGTTTGTCAACTGCTAAATATCACAACCCATTATTACTGTTCCTAATTGTAGCTCTGTAAATACAAAACTATAATTGCCTTAACCATATAATCTCCCTAAGGTAAGAATTTTGATAGGTCCTAAGATTATAACTGCACCAAAGCTCTACACCAAAGGTCAGAGGGCAGTGCTATACCAAATGACAAAGAGAAGGAGAAAACTGCAATCTCATGCCCTGAGGCCACCCAGAACAAATGAAGGAGATGTTAGCACAAAAGAAATTGGGAATCACACAGCTGAAATCTCTGAAATAATAGTGTCAGAAGTAAAGAAACAATTGCAGAAAGGTATACAGGAAATCAGATCAGAAATAACCTCTGGAATCAAAAAAGAAATCTCTGAATTAATAGTGTCTGAAGTAAAGAAATATCTGCACAAAGGTATAGAGGAAATAATAACAGCAACAATCTCAGAAGCAAACAAAGAACAGATAACTATAATGAAAGATCTAATAACTGCTTCTAAAGAAGACACTGATAAAAAATAAGAGGAGAATAGAAAAATGATGGAATCATTGAATGAGCAATATAGGAAAGAAATAGATCACATATACAGGAACTTAAAATCTCAATCACAAGCTGGCAAAACCGTTTGAATGCAAGTGAAGATAGAATTTCAGATATTTTTTTTAATTTTATTGATAAACAGATAGCAATGAGACAGTTTCAAATCAAATCGGAAGTACAGTTTCAACAAATAACACACTGCATATATTCTTCTTAGTGGTTAAATGCTGTACAAGATGCGGACTTGAGATCCTATTTACAAACACCATTAGAACAAATCATTCTATTCATTAAGAGAATGCAACTATATATCT